ATGTTGGCTTTGTGTACTGCTGTAACTCTCTGTCTGTTATTACGAGTAGCATAATCAAAAGCAAACTTGGCGATACGTTTAGATTTCATTCTCGTGACAACCTTTAGACACTCGACCACCCCAGTGACACTCTGAAAAAAACCAAAAAAACATTGGTATAAGTGATTAAGATCTAAGATGTACATGTACATGTTGGCGATAGAGTTAGTCAAACATATACAGGACTTCCTATAAAAAAAAGATGACAAAATCGGAAAAGGTGGCTGTAAACGAGGTGGAAAATGAAACGAGGGGCATTATATCGATGGTTAACTCGAAAAATGTCTCAGATAATTAGAGGCCTGGGTGGCACCATATTAGATGCCAGGGCAGCTATCTTAGATTTTCTGACTAAATATGAAAAGAAACCACACTTTGTCAGGACATCATAATGAACATTTGTATCCAGGTTGGAGTCAAATACTCAGTATTTCTTAAGAGTAGGTCCATTATGTTTATGTTAATACATGATCATAAGCTTATGTTAACACATGGCCACAAGTTTATGTCAACACACGATCATAAGTTTATGATACCACACAATCATAAGTTATGTTAACACATGGTCATAAGTTTAAGTTAACACATGGTCATAAGTTTATGTTAACACACGATCATAAGTTTGTTAACACACGATCATACGTTTATGATACCTCACAATCATAAGTTTATAATAACACACAATCATAAGTTTATGTTAAAATATGATCATAAGTTTATGATACCACACACTAATAAGTTTATATTAACACACAATCATAAGTTTATGTTAACACATGATCATAAGTTTATGTTAATACACAGTCATAAGTTTAAGTTAACACACGATCATAAGTTTATGTTAACACATGATCATAAGTGTATGATAACACATGATCATAAGTTTATGTTAATACACGATTATAAGTTTATGTTAACACACATTCATAAGTATATGTTAACACAGGGTCATAAGTTTATGTTAATACACATAATGTGTTATATGTGTGTACTGTTGTGATGTATGGGTACATGTTGACTAACATGATGTTGGTTGTGTGTACTGTTGTGATGTATGGGTACATGTTCACTAACATTATGTTGTCTGTGTGTACTGTTGTGATGTGTGGGTACATGTTGACTAACATGATGTTGGTTGTGCGTACTGCTGTGATGTATGGATACATGTTGACTTACATGATGTTGGCTTTGTGTACTGTTGTGATGTTTGGGTACATGTTGACTTACATGATGTTGTCTGTGTGTACTGTTGTGATGTGTGGGTACATGTTGACTAACATGATGTTGGATTTGTGTACTGTTGTGATGTATGGGTACATGTTCACTAACATTATGTTGTCTGTGTGTACTGTTGTGATGTGTGGGTACATGTTGACTAACATGATGTTGGTTGTGCGTACTGCTGTGATGTATGGATACATGTTGACTTACATGATATTGATATCATAAGTTTATGTTAACACAGGGTCATAGACTTACATGATGTTGGCTGTGTGTACTGATGTGATGTATGGGTACATGTTGACTTACAGGATGTTGTCTGTGTGTACTGTTGTGATGTATGGGTACATGTTCACTAACATTATGTTGTCTGTGTGTACTGTTGTGATGTGTGGGTACATGTTGACTAACATGATGTTGGTGGTGTGTACTGTTGTGATGTATGGGTACATGTTCACTAACATTATGTTGTCTGTGTGTACTGTTGTGATGTGTGGGTACATGTTGACTAACATGATGTTGGCTGTGTGTACTGTTGTGGTGTATGGGTACATGTTGACTTACATGATGTTGGTTGTGTGTACTGCTGTGATGTATAGATACATGTTGACTTACATGATATTGATATCATAAGTTTATGTTAACCCAGGGTCATAAGTTTATGTTAACACATGATTATTAGTTTATGTTAACACATGATCATTAGTTTAAGTTAACACACGGTCATAAGTTAATGTTAACCCACAGTCATAAGTTTATGTTAACACACGGTCATAAGTTTATGTTAATATTGATATCATAAGTTTATGTTAACCCAGGGTCATAAGTTTATGTTAACACATGGTCATAAGTTTATGTTAACACACAATCATAAGTTTAAGTTAACACATGGTCATAAGCTTATGTTAACACACGGTCATAAGTTTATGTTAATATTGATATCATAAGTTTATGTTAACCCAGGGTCATAAGTTTATGTTAACACATGATTATTAGTTTATGTTAACACACAATCAAAGTTTATGTTAACACACGGTCATAAGTTTATGTTAACATAGGGTGATCAGTTTATGTTAACACACGGTCATAAGTTTATGTTAATACACATGGTCATAAGTTTATGTTAACACACAATCATAAGTTTAAGTTAACACATGGTCATAACTTTATGTTAACACATGATCATAAGTTTATGTTAATACACAGTCATAAGTTTAAGTTAACACACGATCATAAGTTTATGTTAACACATGATCATAAGTGTATGATAACACATGATCATAAGTTTATGTTAATACACAGTCATAAGTTTAAGTTAACACACGATCATAAGTTTATGTTAACACATGATCATAAGTGTATGATAACACATGATCATAAGTTTATGTTAATACACAGTCATAAGTTTAAGTTAACACACGATCATAAGTTTATGTTAACACATGATCATAAGTGTATGATAACACATGATCATAAGTTTATGTTAATACACGATTATAAGTTTATGTTAACACACATTCATAAGTATATGTTAACACAGGGTCATAAGTTTATGTTAACACATGATTATTAGTTTATGTTAACACACAATCAAAGTTTATGTTAACACACGGTCATAAGTTTAAGTTAACACATGGTCATAAGCTTATGTTAACACACGGTCATAAGTTTATGTTAATATTGATATCATAAGTTTATGTTAACCCAGGGTCATAAGTTTATGTTAACACATGATTATTAGTTTATGTTAACACATGATCATTAGTTTAAGTTAACACACGGTCATAAGTTAATGTTAACCCACAGTCATAAGTTTATGTTAACACACGGTCATAAGTTTATGTAAATACACATGGTCAACTGTTATGATATATGGGTACATGTTGACTAACATGATGTTGGCTTTGTGTACTGTTGTGATGTATGGGTACATGTTCACTAACATTATGTTGTCTGTGTGTACTGTTGTGATGTGTGGGTACATGTTGACTAACATGATGTTGGATTTGTGTACTGTTGTGATGTATGGGTACATGTTGACTTACATTATGTTGGCTGTGTGTACTGTTATGATATATGGGTACATGTTGACTAACATGATGTTGGCTTTGTGTACTGTTGTGATGTTTGGGTACATGTTGACTTACATGATGTTGTCTGTGTGTGCTGTTGTGATGTATGGGTACATGTTGACTTACAGGATGTTGTCTGTGTGTACTGTTGTGATGTGTGGGTACATGTTGACTAACATGATGTTGGTGGTGTGTACTGTTGTGATGTATGGGTACATGTTCACTAACATGATGTTGTCTGTGTGTACTGTTGTGATGTGTGGGTACATGTTGACTAACATGATGTTGGTTGTGCGTACTGCTGTGATGTATGGATACATTTTGACTTACATGATATTGATATCATAAGTCTATGTTAACACAGGGTCATAAGTTTATGTTAATACACAATCATAAGTTTATGTTAACACACGGTCATAAGTTTATGTTAATACACATGACTAACATGATGTTGGTTGTGTGTACTGCTGTGATGTATGGATACATGTTGACTTACATGATGTTGGTTGTGTGTACTGCTGTGATATATGGGTACATGTTGACTTACATGATGTTGGTTGGGTGTACTGCTGTGATGTATGGATACATGTTGACTTACATGATATTGATATCATGAGTTTATGTTAACACAGGGTCATAAGTTTATGTTAACACATGGTCATAAGTTTATGTTAACACACAATCATAAGTTTAAGTTAACACATGGTCATAAGCTTATGTTAACACACGGTCATAAGTTTAAGTTAACACATGGTCATAAGCTTATGTTAACACACGGTCATAAGTTTATGTTAACATAGGGTGATCAGTTTATGTTAACACACGGTCATAAGTTTATGTAAATACACCTGCTGTGATGTATGGGTACATGTTGACTAACATGATGTTGGTGGTGTGTACTGTTGTGATGTATGGGTACATGTTCACTAACATTATGTTGTCTGTGTGTACTGTTGTGATGTGTGGGTACATGTTGACTAACATGATGTTGGTTGTGCGTACTGCTGTGATGTATGGATACATGTTGACTTACATGATGTTGGTTGGGTGTACTGCTGTGATGTATGGATACATGTTGACTTACATGATATTGATATCATAAGTTTATGTTAACACAGGGTCATAAGTTTATGTTAACACATGATTATTAGTTTATGTTAACACACAATCAAAGTTTATGTTAACACACGGTCATAAGTTTATGTTAATACACATGGTCATAAGTTTATGTTAACACATGGTCATAAGTTTATGTTAACACACGATTATAAGTTTATTTTTATACACTATCATAAGTTTATGTTAACACAGGGTCATAAGTTTATGTTAACACATGGTCATAAGTTTAAGTTAACACTGAGTCATAAGTTTATGTTGACACACGGTCATAAGTTTATGTTAATACACATGGTCATAAGTTTATGTTAACACACGGTCATAAGTTTAAGTTAACACACAATCATAAGTATATATTAACACGGGGTCATAAGTTTATCTTAAGACATGGTCATAAGTTTAGAATAATGCACAATCATAAGTTTAAATTAACACATGATTATTAGTTTATGTTAACACATGATCATTAGTTTAAGTTAACACACGGTCANCTGTGTGTACTGTTGTGATGTATGGGTACATGTTGACTAACATGATGTTGGTTGTGTGTACTGTTGTGATGTATGGGTACATGTTGACTAACATGATGTTGGTTGTGTGTACTGCTGTGATGTATGGATACATGTTGACTTACATGATATTGATATCATAAGTTTATGTTAACACAGGGTCATAAGTTTATGTTAACACATGATTATTAGTTTATGTTAACACACAATCAAAGTTTATGTTAACACACGGTCATAAGTTTATGTTAATACACATGGTCATAAGTTTATGTTAATACAAATGGTCATAAGTTTATGTTAATACACGATCAGAAGTTTATGTTAACACACATTCATAAGTGTATGTTAACACAGGGTTATAAGTTGATGTTAATACACAATCATAAGTTTATGTTAACACACGGTCATAAGTTTACAATAACACAATCATAAGTTTATGTTAACACATGGTCATAAGTTTAAGTTAACACTGGGTCATAAGTTTATGTTGACACACGGTCATAAGTTTATGTTAATACACGGTCATAAGTACAAGAACACATCATCATAAGTTTATGTTAACACACAATCATAAGTTTATGTTAACAAAGGGTCATAAGTTTATGTTAACACACGGTCATAAGTTTATGTTAACACATGGTCATAAGTTTATGTTAACATATGGTCATCAGTTTATGTTAACACACGGTCATGAGTTTATGTTAACACATGATTATAAGTTGATGTTCACACACAATCAAAGTTTATGTTAACACACGGTCATAAGTTTATGTAAATACACATGGTCATAACTTTATGTTAATACACGATCAGAAGTGTATGTTAACACACATTCATAAGTGTATGTTAACACAGGGTCATAAGTTTATGTTAA